TGTTAGCACCCTGAGGGGGCTCCCAGGAGGGACGAGGGAGCTGCATGAGAGAGCAGGGTCCAGTCCAAAGGCAAGACTTGAGAACTGCTCATGCAGCCCTGGAGGGACAGGGATCCCTTGCTCCATCCCATCTCAGCTGAGAGGCCATGCCACTGTCATCTGACCAGAGAGTTGGGGGTGACATCAGTGCCACTGCACCCAGCACCCTGCCTCTATCCAGGACCCCGTGACTAATTTGGGATGAAGTGGCCATTTTTAATAGGCTGATATAAATATTTATGAGCCGTCAGCTATGAAAAAGGACCCTGCCTCATGACTGCTGCCAGGCCAGAAGGTAACACGAGGGAGACAGACCAAGTCCTCACTGGCGGCCACGGGAGCACAGAAACCCCAGAGGTCACTGGGACATCCCCAGTTTCCATCCCGCTGTGAGGATGCCTGGTTGGTGCACACCTTGCACTTGGCCCAAGCCAGCTCGTATCCAAATCGCGGTTGAACATCCAACCAGTTTCTCGGCGGCCGTGACGTCCCCAGGAGAGTGGGGGCGCCCCGGCCCCGGCCCCGGCCTCGGCCCCGGCCCCGGCCCCTCACAGCTGCGCCTCGGAGCCCGCAGAACCGCAGCTCGGCCTGCCACGGCGGCCTCCGCTCTGCTGAGCTGCACAAAGCCGATGAAAGCCTTGTGCTGAGTCGCAGTTCTGCCGTGCTGGCCTGCATCGCCCCGGGCACCGTCTGCCACCCGTTCCCATGTCCCCGGCGCCCCCTCCCAGCACCACCACATCACTCAGGCAGCACCGCTGCCCCAGCCCCAAAAGCGTCATCCCACAGGGATGTGCGGCCCGATTTCTGCATACCTATTGATTCCTCCTTTATACTCTTCACCCCATATCGATCCAGTTTAGCTTCTGTGACTCAAACTAAATTAGCTGCCTTTAATCCATGGATAATTGCAGCAAGCCCAGCTCTGCCTGTCCCAGATTCATGGGTGTTAGGGACAGGGAGGAGAGTGCTGGGTCACACAGAGACATTCAGGTTTCTCCTCCACCCCAAACAAGCCAGCCCAGAGACACCAGGGAAGTTGTCTCAGGACATCCATGCTGCAAGCCAGAAACTATGGCTGGGAGCTGCTATTCCAGCAGGACATTTGGCCCCAAAGCCCAGGCATTGCCTTCCAGCTCTGGATTTCCCGAGTCCTCAGAATTCCTGTGGGTTTTAGTCTCAGGTGACACCATAAAATATTGCTACTTGCTCCTGCCAGGCTGCAGGCCACAAGGAGTTAATTCCACCCGGTCATGGGGAGAGGAGCAGCCTCAGCCCTCCTGGAGTCTTGGATAAAACCTCAGATGGAAAGCAGAGCCTGTTCCCCTTTGATTAGCAGCCCAGGCTCCCTGGGAGCCCTCAGCATCTCTAGCCTCTAATTTAGCAGCTCACAAAGCACCAAAGGCAGTGGAGATGCCACTGTCACCTCACCTGGACTGACAGCCTGGCAGAGCACCTGGGGATGTCCCCACACTGATGGCAAGGCCATCCCTCCACTGCAGTTCTGATTCCTTTGTACACCCCCAAAACCTCCTCCCCTACCCAGGCACCCACAGACCTACACCTTCCGCCCTGGACATCCTCCTCAGTCCTTTTGTAAAATCAAAATAAACATTTAATTTTGATTTAATGCAACAGTTACCACAGTCAGTAAATACCAAAACTATAATAAAGGAGGATTAATGGCCATGTGCACCCCTGCCCTGGCCTGCAATGGCCAAGTGTCCATCGCATAACCCTTAATTGGTGCTGATGTCCTCCTGCTATCCCACAGAGCCTTCAGCCATCCCTCCCTACTCCTCCCTGCCTTCCCAGCACTAGCCAAGGTCGGCAGTCCCTTGAGTAATGGGTGGGATTGCTGCAGCTGCCAGGCAGGAACGGGAGATTTCCGAGTGGTAAACTGGTTCTAAGCATTGGCCTGTGGGTGCAGAGCCTGTTCAGAGCAGCTGAGCATTACATGGGGATGACAGTCCCCAGAATGCCTTGGCCAGTGCACCTGCAAAAGCTGGGGAGAGCTGCAAGTTGCTCTGCACAGCTCTGGAGCACACAGGGGATCTGGGAGTGTCCAGGCAGGGCACATGCTCCAGGGCCATGAAGAGGTGGTGTAGGGTTTGGATAGAAATGGCCAGGACATGCTTTTGTGGGAGGGGAAACTAAAGCAGTAGCTGAGCCACAGGGGACACCCCCACAGAATCCTCACAGCACAGCCTGGCTATGTCCACTTGGTCCATGGCACCAATCTGCACAGAAGGTCAGTTTAAAAAGAAAGAAGCATGTTTTGAGCAAGCGTCAGCCAGCCTCAGCTGCAAATTCACTTGTCAGGAACATTGGAATTACTTGGAGCTGGATAGTGTGAACATCTGTGCAAGGCAAATGCTGAGGCAGGGAAGGGTAGTAGGAGCTGCTGAGTCCCCCAGCCCCCTCCACTGCCTGCAGATGCTCCATGGGATGCCAGAGGAGGGTTGGTGCAACCCCCACCCACATCCTGCTGCAAGGGGACTGCAGCAAGCACCCCAAATTACCCAGGAGAGGAGGCTGGAACTCAAGGGATTCACCATGGCAGCTTGCTGGCTGCAAATTCTCTCTGGGTGAATACTGGAGTAACTGGGCTCAACAATACAGGATTAGCTTTGGAGGGACTCCTCATACCAGCCCCACATCTCCTGCCCCCCCTGCACCTGCCTGTCATAGGTTCCCCTGATATTTTGGAGCATTATGAAGCCTTTTAATCACTTGCAGAGCAACCACTGAGCAGCACTTCCAAACCTCCTCCTGCAGCAGCCCCCAGCTACCAAAACTTGCCTCTTCATGCCCAAAATAACCCTCAGGCAGGAGTTAATTGTCCACTCAGGCATAAGCAGATCAGTGCTCAGGTGCTACTTGGCTATCTAGGTGTGTGGCAATGGGGTGCTCAGCTGTGCCAGACGTGGGTGCTCATGTATGAATTAACTGTGTGCTCAGCTTAGGAAACCTCATTATTTCGCTCAATCTACCTTCTCAAAGGCATTGCAAATTGCACCCCCACATATGTTTTGGAGGGGGATATTGACACTGGAGCAGGATCCAGGATTAGGACTCCCTTCTCCATTCCCCTTCTCCCACAGATGCAACATCCCCCACAACAAACAGCTTTCAAAGCCCATTTCCCATTGATGTCACTTCAATGCCACAGGAGATAAAAGCTGAGAGATCCAGAATCAGCGCTGAGTTTTCCAGGGAATATTAATTAGAGGGAAAGCCTCATTAGCGCAGTAAGGGTGGCTGCTTATGCTGCCTCCCCATCACCCCCATGTGTCCCAGACCCCCCAAAGGGACATTGTGGGTGTCAGGCCTCCCATCTGCCTTGGTGGTCTGAGCAATGGGGTGCCCTGCACATCCCCCAGTGTAAGTTTTAAATGTTAAAGCAGGTGTTTATATAAAAAAGATGCCAAGGGGAAAACCTGTTTCTCCCCATCCCTGGCTGCTGAGGCTCCCAGGTGAGCCCAGAGCCCTGGGCAGGAGGAAGTCCCCCTGTGCATCTGCAGCAGCCTGATGGCAAACCCGAGTGTTTGTGGGGAAAAACCAGCACATCAGTTATCTGATGTGTTTTTGGAGAGCTTTTTTGACAGCTCTGCAGCTGGAGAGGAGCGGGGGAGCACAGGATGCTGCCTCCAGCCACCCTGAGCCTCTGCACTGTTAGAGAAAGCCTCTGCATCTGCCACCAAAGGGAGGGATCAGGACAACAGACACTGGGAAGTGGCACAGGACCCCTGAGCACAGAGATCCCACTCCATCATCCTCCTGAGGGCCTGGGTAGGTTGGGCAGCACCCACCAGCCCTGTCACCCTGTCTCCCGGTAACTGCCCCAGAAAACAACCCTTGCAGCAAAACAGCATTTGCCAAGAAATCAGAACGCTGGTGACAGGAAAGGACAGGAAGCACTACTGGGAGGGTTTAACCACTGTAGCCACCAATGAGGAGCAGCACCCCTGGGTGCCCCAGCTGAGAGTCTGGCCAAGGGATACCAAGGGGTCCAGAAGGGGAGATGCGGTAGAACTCAAGTGAAGCCATTCCCTGGCTAAGGCCATAAAGCCCAGGGGTGGCTCCATGGACAGGCAGAGTGTGGGGAAGCATAGGACATGGCCACCAGCACCCAGGGACAGCAGCAAGGCAAAGGCACTGGGAGGACAGAGGTGCCACAACAACAGTTATTCATCACAAAGAACTTCTCATTCTTTTTTGTTTTGTTTTGTTTTACTGAGAGGTGAAGCCAATTCATCCTGACAGAGGTTCACAGCACAGCTCTGCCTGGGGGCTGCTTACAGAGACACCAACAAGTAACACAGTATGGGAGGAAAGCACCCTGTGTCTGTGCCACAAGGGGCTGGTGGGCACCAAAATGTCACCCTAGCCCTGTGCCACCTCAGGGACAACTGCCATTGTGGCATCTATGTGGGCGTCCCCACAGGCACTCAGCACCAGCCCTGGTCTCCGAGGATGCTCTCCCAGCAGACACAAACCAACTCACTCTGAGCACTTCTGAGGACGGGTGTCAAATCAATCCCCACAGCAGAGATGCCAAGTTAAAAAAAAAAAGATGGCAAAAAACCCCAGAAGAAAGTAGGCGGACATCTGCCAAACCAGCAATTTTCAGCTGGATTTCCAGAAACACTTCAGGCTTTTAAAACCAAGAGAGGAGAGAAAACAAAACCCCTCCACTCAGATGAAGTGCAAAATTCCAATTTGACTTCAAAGGCATTTCTCCTGGCTAGTTACTCCCGAACCCTGGCACAACCCACTAGAAAGCCAGTGGGCAGTGCCATTTGCTGCCAGATGACAGCACCCAGCCAGCTGGGGTGTGAGGTACCGTGCTGGGGGAGCCCAGGGTGTCAGAGGGATGCTGAAAATCTGGTACTCACCCATTTGGAAGCAGGGAGGACAAGGAAGGAAGGAGGGGAGGAAAAAGAGAATAAACTTTACATCAGTTGTAATCAGCAGGTTTTTTCCATGCACTATATATTCAGTTAATGTAAGTTACAATCTCCTCTGAAACGGAAAAATACCACAGCTGTTGTAGCCAGTAACACTTTTAAGAGCGCTTGACTCCCAAGTCATCCAGGTGCTTTTGACAGTGTTACCCTGGGTTGCTATAGGAACCCTAACAGTGTTCCCATCTGACTTCTCCATTAACACTGGATTTATATTTAATTTGGTTTTCTTTTCCTCAGCAAGAAGAGGTGAGAAGCAAGCATGAATACAGAGGCAGGAGATGCTCCTCCATGGGTGTCTCCTGGACATACCAAAAACAGGACCCAGGACCACAGTCAGTTGTGCTGAGACACTGCTGAAGCAACAATGCAAGCAGACCCCGACCTGCTGCAGGTGGGGAAGGGCACAGCCCCACTGCACTGCTAGAAACCATCTGGGATGGTGCTCAGGTTGCCTCTATTATGAGGTTCTCCCGTGTTCCCGTGCCTGTCTGTCCCACTCTTGCCTTCCCACAGGCAGCATGACTGAGGGGCTCACGGGCTGAGCATCCCACGCAGCTCCTGGACAGAGGTGACAGGCAGGGAGCAGGTGAAGTTGCTGCAGATATAGGCAGTGGCTTTCCCATCCTTCCTCTCCAGGGACGCAAGGAAAGGCAGCTGGCGGTAGAGGAACCCAGCACTGTCTCCATCTGCGACCATCAGCACCTGTCCAGAGAAGGAGCTGTAAGAGCCAGAGAGCACAGGCAGCACCAGCCAGCTGGTCCTTCCTGCCCCACTGACATGTTGAGGGCTGGCAGTGTCCCCCCCCCACACTCTTTCAAAATGGAGAGGGGATGGGCAGCTCAAGGGATCCACTCCAGCCCTCTGCCATGGTCCCACAGTGGTCACACCCTATAATGCCAGTGCAGGAAAAAGCATGATGGAGATGTGGCAACCTAACCACGCCAAACACTTGGCAGCCAGGATGAAGCACAGGGATTGGCACATCCCAGCCTAGCCAGCTCCTTGGGGACATCTACCCAGCCAAAGAACAGCCCCAGAAACAGCTGCAGCATTGCCCCATCTGACCTGCAGCCCAGTTCCTCCTGCCCTACCCACACCTCCCAGAAAAACTCAGGCAGCAATGAGCACTGGGTCAGGGGCTCTCCCAGTTCACACAGCAGCATCAGCCAGAGGTGATGACTGGGCTGCCAGGATAATTAGCTTTTCTGAAAGGGAAAATGTTTGTTAAAGCCTCGGGGCTTACAGGCTAATCAGGAGAAAGGCCAGGAGCTGGCAGCGAGCCTCATGCCGACACAGATGCAAAGGGTGAGCAAAAGCCTGTCCTTCCCAAGGCACAGAGGGAACATCCTGCTGCTGGAGCACACAGCTGTCCCTTGCCCGCCCCAATCCAAGCCCTGCATGTGTCTGCTGAGCATGGACACACTCGCAACATGTCCCTACTACTCATGCCAATGCCACCAAGGGATGCTGACACCAAATGCTGCCTCTCACAGCACACACATCTCCCACCATGGCACTGCTCTCCTGGCACGCAGCATCCTCTACACCAGAGCCAGCAGAAGACCCAGCACTGGCATCCAGAGACACCCACACAGCCTCACTCATGCCTGGCAGGGGCTGCCCACACCCTTGTGTCCCCAGGGGGGCACCACATCCCCAAGTCCCTGCCCTGGATAGTGGTTGCTGCAGTCCTGTTCTATCCACCATCACCCCACATCTGCTTGACCCAGCTCTGGCTCAGCCTGTCTCCCTGCCTGCCTCTTGCTCCCCCCAATCTCCTCCCCCTTTGCCTTTGTCTGGAATTAATTCCAGGAGTGATTAATTACCAATTCATGTCCAATCTGAAATTCATTATTCATTTTTCTCACAAGCTCCCCAAGGTCCTCTCACAGGGCCAGGATGAAGACAAGTGGCAGGCGAGTGCTCTGCAGCCGAGGAGATAATGGGATCCTTTACCCTAAAGACCATTAACAGGGCAGGGATCTATACCAGCAGCTGGGATCCAGCCCCAGAGCAGGGAACCAACCCTCTCTGCTCCCAGCACCAGGACACTCACAGGAACAGCTATCAGCATCACCCCTACTTGCATCCCCAAAGAGCTGCCTGCAGCAAAGGGCTACTCCAGACCCAGGGTCCATTTAAAATCACAACCTCAATGCAATTCTATCATTAGCATCTTGTTACAGCAAGGATTTCAGGGTGAGATTTGTAAGGAATTAATTACTGAAACAACCTAATTAATTGTGTTCCTGCACACAAGCCTGGCCCCCGGCACCCTGCTGGCACAAAGGGAATGGGGACGCAAGGGAACAGGGATGTTCCCCCAACTCCTTGGCAAAGCCAATTCCCAATCAGCCATGTCCCTGGAGCAGGTGACCCAGGGCTGCTCTGCTTAGGGCAGCTTCCCGTGGCAGGGAAGGAGATCTGAGGAGCAGCTGGAGGGGGATGGAGGCAGGTGGGAACAGGAGCATGCTCATTTCTGTGTGATGCAGCATGGAAAGAGGGATGGCTGTTGGGAGGCAGTGGGCTGCTCCCAAAGGTAGTGCAACTCTGAGAAGTGGGATTCTCCTCCCTTCCTCCCAACACTTCTGCAAGGGGAGGAGCCATTGCTACTGCCAGAGATCATGCTCCTACCACTCCTGCACACTCATGCTTGGGGAAGGGGAGATATGTTTCCACAGGGCTATGGTCCTCTGGGGGAGAGCTCTACCCTCCTGCCACAATTCTTCTTCCAGGAAATAAACCCAAGCTGGAACAGCTTTGGCTCCATCCCATCATCACAACATGAGGAACACACAAGGGGCAAACAGAGCTAGACTCCCACCCTGCCTGCTGCCAGCTTCCAGCTACAGCCTCTCACATGCCTCTCAAAGCATAGGTCCCCTGCAAGCAGCCCTGGCAGGCATGACCATGGCTTCACTCCCCCATGGAAATATCCATGCAGAATACCCAGCCCTCATCTTCTCCCTTCCCCAAGGAATGCAAAAGCTTGAAGGAGAAAGATACTCCCCTGGGGAAGGAGCATCCCTACCAGCCAGGCTTGTTACCAGCTTTGCAGGAGGGAGCCAGACTGCAGGGGAGAGGAGGATATGGCTGTGCTATTTGGTCTGCTCAAGACCCCAGAACTGCCAGTGTGGGCTCAGGGGACCAAGGGTTGAACAGCTGTGGGCAGAGGGTTATTAACAGTGGTGCTGGGCTCCTGTTCCTGCAAACTGGGTCAGCCAGTGTAATCCTTCAAAGGGACAGAGGTCGAGTGTGGGAATAGAGGCCTCACACACAAAATAGGGACCTGCATGGAACAAGAGCGCTGCTGGATGGGTGATGGCAGAGGAAGGACAGAGAGCTGTATGCCTCACTCGTGTCCCTGGAACATGTCCCTCCTCCTCCAATGCTGATATCAAACATCACTGGGCAGAAGGTTAGGGGTGATACCCCTGTGGGCTGAGCTAACAAGAGTACAGAGCAGAGGATTCTGTGCTGATGGCTCAGCCCTCCCCAGTTCATCCCAGCTGGGGTTACAGAGGCAAAGTGGTGCTTTGGCCTCAGCCCCCCAGACACTGAGACTGAACATGCCAGTCCCTGGCACCAGGGCCCAATGGCCAGGGATGAATCCAATCCAAACACTGAGCTCCCTCGCTCACAGCCCAGTCCTATTTCCCTCAGCTCCACAGCTTTGCTGAGGTCAAAGCCATCATTCCCAAGGCAGGGACACTGGCCACCAAAGCTGATGGGCACCAGCTGCTGTGCTGCCCTTCCCTGCCAGTTCCAGATGCAGCCAACAACTCCAGCCCCTCTGTGGGATGCACTGATACATCCCAAAGGAGAGATGAAGACAAGCAGAGTCAGGCAGGAACCCCAATACACAGCAACAGCTGCTGAATGGGAGAAGAGCTTTGGGAAAAGCCAGCCTCTCCCAGCTGGTGGTACCCAGAATTGGAGTGAGGCACTGCCTCATCCCTTCCAAGGATGCAAGGGTGTCTCCAGGCAGTAGGTGACCCAGATACTAACTGGGTCTCCACAGGACATGACACATCCACACTAGGCAGAACACATTCACACCGGAATGAAAGGTTTCCCCTTGGGAATGCACTGGGCTTCACAGTGAGAGCAGTGTAAACAGCCAACAGCAATAACAACCACTGCTGCAGCCACTTCTAGGCTGGGCTGCCCATGCTCTGTGCAGGGAGAAGAGTGCAGGGCTCAGCCATGGCCCTGTGGCTGTGCTCAGAAATGAAAAGGACAGGATGCTTCCCAGAAAAGAGGCAGAACAGAGGAGGATGGGTGCAACAGCTGCACTGAGAGAAGGGATGAACACCAGCAGTGCAGACAGCAAAGACCAGAGAAGGGCTGGCAGGAAGGGAGCACCTCTACCTTGTTTGGGCTGAAGACAGAGCGGACACAATGCAGCATCTCTTTGGTGTCTTCTCCTTGAGGGTCCCCACAGATGACAACCTGTCCAGGGGGAGGGTGGATGGCAGGAGGGAGAAAACAGAGCTTTGACTGCACCCATGCCATTGCCAGCCCCACTTCCTACAGCAGGTCCTGCAGGGGACAATGAGCCCCAGCCCATACCTGTTTGAGGGTGTGATGGAAGACAGCGGTGGCTCGGACCATCTCTGGGAGGCTTATCGGGATCTTCTGCAGCCTCTCTGAGAAGGCAGCCAAGATCTTGCCAGCTTTTTCCACCCAGTCCATATGACCAGAGTAACAAGCTGCTCGGAGCAGGTTTGTGACAGCGATAGAGTTAGGGGTGGGCTCTGCTCCATCTTGGTCTGCAAAGGACAACATCTGCCATCAGCCCAGTGCCTCACCATCATCGGCCATCAGCCCCATCCTCCCACACCACAATCCACGGAACACATTGCCAGGTCCCTGAGCTCACCATCCTTGAGACGCAGGAGCAGAGAGGGATCGTTGGCCTCAGTGGAGAAATAAGCAAAGCCTTTAGGGTCCCAGAAGAGTTTGTCTTGCATGTGCTGGAGATGAAGGGCCCACTCCAGCCAGCCCTGCTCCAGCGAGGCTTCATACAAGTCAAAGAGTGCCTGGATGACAAAGACATAGTCCTCCAGGAAGCCCTGGATGGGCACAGCACTGTAGTAGCACACAGGGAAGAAAAATCAGAATCTCTAAACTGAGCAAGTTAGAAATGTTCTCCAACCCAGCAAAGCCCTGCTTACTGGTCTCTGATACCCAAGGAGATGCCACCAAGCAAAGCAATGGCTGTGGCCATCACACAACTCAGCCCCAGGGTTCCGTACAGGAGGAGAAGGTAGGGGAAGACACTTGCCAGCATGAAAGATGAGGAACAGGAAAGGTTTTGACTTCAATTCTTCCTCACTGGCTGGGGGACACTAATCCTTCCTAAACTGCACCGAAGCTCTATACAAAACAAACAGCCTCCCTCCCTCCCAGTTCGGTCCTGCCTGGAAGAGAGGACAGGGACTGCTGGGGGTCTGGGCAGCACCTGCAGGTGGCCAGTCAAGTCTGTGGAGTTTCTGATACTCACCTCTGCTCCACTGAGTTGTGCTTGCCCCGGTAGCAGCTCCGAAGCAGCCTCCCGCTGTCAGGGTCGAAAAGGTGTGTCCTCAGGAAGGCAGCTGCCTGTGCAGCCCTGCTCACATATCCCTGCTCGTCCAGGGTAGCCCCAGCCTGGGCAAAGCCTGAGATCATCAGCCCTGCAGAGGCAGAGACAGTAGGACAGGTCAGGGGGGGCACATGGAACTGGTGAGAGGGTCAGTGTCAGTTCTCTGAAGGAGGCTCAATGTGAAGCTCATCCTCCATGATGGCAGCAGGTCAGGTCTTAGCTCTTCTGCTCAGTTCCAATCATTAATGAAGTCACTCACTGTCACCAAAGAGATAGGCAGAGTACTGTAAGGCCAGCAAGAGCTGAGCCCTCACTTGTGGGCAGATACAGGGCTCAAGACTATTCCAGTTTGCAGGGTAACTCCAGTCCATGCCAGCTCCAGACCCAAACACTCAGGAATTTACTGCTGGGAACAGAGGTGGGAGCCCTGCAAGTGATTCCCTGAGGCAGGACCCCCAGACAAACACAGTGCTATGATCCCTCACCCATGCAGCAGTAGGGATGGGCTCTGTACCTACCAGGGTCCTGGGTCCCCAACTCAGACCTTTTCCCCACAGCCCAACCAGAGGAGCTGAACTGAGCCAGGGGAAGAGTTCTGCTGCTCTCTGCTGGCAGCTGGGGAAGGAAATAAAGCCAGAGCAGAATCCCCATGCTCCCAAGGCTTGCAGGTGTGGGGCTGCTTCCACACAGCCCCTGATCACAGTGCCTCTGTGGGAGCTTCTCAGTCCCAGCAGGACCTGCTGCTACCATGCCCTGGTGGGGGTCCAGCCAAGGCATGTCCTCAGAGCAGAGCCACCCCTCACCATTCCATGCTGCCAGCATCTTGGTGTCCAGGTGTGGCCGTGGCCGCTGTGCCCGGGCTGAGGACAGTCTCTGTTGGCATTCTTGCAGCAGGGCACTCAGCCGGCCTGGCTCCAGCCCAAATCGGGCTGCCGTCAGCTCCGGGGGGCAGCGGGCAATGAGGACATTCTTTCCCTTCAGCTCCTGATGGGGGTCCTGAAGGGAGAGGGAGACATGTTCTAGAAATGCCATCAGACTTGGGAGGTGTTAGACTCTGAGTGTTTTGGGGCTGCTCTGCCATCCCTCCATGCCAATGGATGCAGGTCCCTCATCAGTGCTCCTGACACTAGGCAAGTCTTTGCTCTCCCTCACCTTCATGGGGTCCACGTTGCCAGCCTCTTCCACTCCATAGTGGTGCATGAAGACATCTCCCAAGGTTGTCCCTTCTGTGGCCCCCTCGACAGGGTCGGGGAGGAGAGCCCGGAGCTCCTTGGCTGTCCACACACAGAAAGCTCCTTCTCGCTTCTCTGTAGATGTGGTGGTTGGGTAGGAATCTGCATCTTCTGCACTATAGAAACCTCCTGCCTGGGAAAAGTGCAACAGAGAGATCCTCCAGCTTCAGGACAACACTTTCAGCCAGCTCCCCAGCATTGCAGGGCTGGCAGTCTCGCTAATGAGCCTCAGTAGTGCTCCAGACTGTGCTCAGCTAGGACGGAAGGGAGGAAAGAACAGCCCCAAGCCACATCCCAGGGTAGGGTAAGTGGCTCACTTTGGGTCAGCTCAGGGAAGAGCCTACCTGGTCACTCAGGTCACGCGAGACGTAGAGTAAAATGTCTCGGACAATATCAGCAAAGAATTCATCACCAGAGATCTGTGTGAGACACAGCATGGACATCAGTGTTACAGGGGTGGGAGGGGGCAAGAGACACAGCAAGATATGGAGAGAGATTTCAATTTGAAGAGTTGGCAAAGGAGCATTTGGAAGTCCAAGGATTTTAAATGAAGGATGGATTCAGAGTAAGACCTTCAATAGAAATCTACTATCAGTGAGTACTGCATATCTACGAAGGGCAGTGGAGAGTAATGCTGGAGTTACACCAAGGTCAGAGGCAGCAGCATTGTCTGCTGACTTGCAAAAACCAGCCCAAAGGCTGTTTCTTCCCCCATTATGCTCAAAGCCCCAGGGCTACACTGTCACACGTTTGTGCAGCACTTCTGGATAAACAACAGGAGATGAAGGGGAGCATTGGATTGCTCCATGCCCGTGGGATGGGGAGTATCTTGGGGAAGAGGGTTTGAAGCTGCTCCCCAAACCAGGCCAGTCCTTGCAGCCTGCAGGAGTGGGAGCCACACAGAGAGATGCCAAAGCTATACCTGGAAGGCTTTGCTGTACACAGCTGCCAGCTGCCCCTGGTCATAGAGCATCTTCTCAAAGTGAGGAACATGCCAGTGCTGGTCGGTGGAGTAGCGGTGAAACCCCTGCAGAGAGTATGTGAAGACGTCTCCACCTCACACCTCCTGGCCATGACAGGGGCTTACCCCCAAAGATTTACTCCTACCTGACCAATGTGGTCATGGAGGCCCCCATGGGCCATCATCTTGAGGGTGTACAGAGCCATCTTCAGTGCACGGGCACCTTCTGGAGTTGTTTGGTGCAGGGCCCAGTATGTGAACAGGAAATTCAAATTCACTGAAACACAGGGAGATAACGGGAGGCTGTGGGGTGGGCTCTGCCCCCACGCTGCTGTCTGCCTCACAGCAGGTCTCAGCAGAAGAGACCAGACTGACCTGGGGTGGGGAACTTGGGGGATTTGGAAAATCCACCATAATCCTCATCATAGGATCTGGAGAGCTGCTGGAAACAGGTGTCCATCACCTCTTTGGCTGGTGGGGGTGACTCCTGGCCCTGCACACGGATCTCTGATGTGTGTCGCAATGCTTCCAGAATCCTCTGGCTGCTCTCCAACAGGGCATCTTTGTTCTCCTTCCACTAAGATGCAGTGGGAAAGAGATAGTTCTTCTTGCCTTGCACCAGTCCAAACCACACCTCCAGTTCTCAATCACCCTCCCCAAATCAGCTCAAACCCACTTCTAACCAAGCGAAAGCTCTGGCTGGTTCTCTGGGCTACTCTTCCTCACAACTGAATCTCCTAACTCAGTTACCCTTCAAGCCCAGACCAATTTCCCTGTGCTCCCTTTGGTTCAGCCCTGTCTGCTATACCATTCCTGCCCCACACCTGCTCTGCGATCCGGAGCAGCACTGTCCGAAAACCAACACGATGAACTCCATCCTCAGGAGGGAAATACGTCCCCCCAGCAAAGGGCTTGAGGTCTGGGGTCAGCCAGACACTCATGGGCCAACCACCTCCACCACTGGTGGCCTGAAAGACAAAATGCATGTGCACCAAGGTCACGCAAGAGGCACCTGCTCTGTGCCCTTCCAGCACATACAAGAGCCTCACTCAAAGAGAGATGTGTGCTTCTGTCCACCGTTGAGACCCACCCCATATACTGGTTCTGCTTGCCTGAGGAACATGACAATGAACCAGTCAAAGCCTCCTGGGCTCTGCCCGTGCCTCCCTCACCTGCACGAAGGTCATGTATACTTTGTCCACATCTGGCCGCTCCTCACGATCCACTTTGATGCATACAAAGTGCTCATTCATGATCTCCCCAATCTCCTTGCTCTTGAAGGACTCCTCCTCCATGACATGGCACCAGTGGCAGGTGGAGTAGCCAACTGCAAACAAGCTTAGACGGGTGAGGAATGGTCCTTTGCAGGGAGCAGGAAACACGTGATGGGGAGAACACTCAGAGATGGGGACCCCTGCTATGGGCAAGAGCTGCTGCCTTCCTGGACAAGAAATGGAGAAGAGTCTCCTGAACTTTCCAGCTCTTAAAAGAGAGCTGGCCAAGGACTCTGGTCCTGCATGCAGCCCATTTTCCTAAAAGCTGGCCAAGGACTCTGGTCCTGCATGCAGCCCATTTTCAGAGAGCTACTCCAGCACATGGTACTCTCTTGCTTGGTGGTCATCCATACCTACGTGGCTAATCACACACCAGCTCAGGATGCAGCTCAGCTTTTGTGATCATCTACTGACCAACACATGGGGACATGAAATATGCCTTGTTTCTGGTTACCTGACAGGAATATCAGCTTGTTTTCTGTCTTTGCTTTATCAAATGCTTCCTGACCCCAAGGGTACCTGTGGGGGAAGACAAGAGTCCCTCAGCCCCATGAGCACAAGGACAAGAGGATGAGGGGGAAGGGGAAAGGCTCCCCATTGCTCTTACCAATCCACAGGGTTGTGGGCATGCTGCAGGAGGTATGGGGACTTTTCATTAATCAGGCGGTTGGTGTGACGAGGGACGCTGGGGGGGCTGGGTGTCCCCACCGTGGCCATGGCTGCGATCCCCGTTAGAAATGTGTGCCTGTGACACCAAACAGGCTCAGGGGTTCCCTGCTCACCACAACAAAGCTCAGCCTCTGGACAGAGCCATGACAGACCAGAGCATCAGCACCACCACCCCAGGTCCTGCTGTGCCCCAGGACAGGGTGCTGCTCTCCACTATTCGCTCTCCATGCCAAGGGAAACAGTCTCAGCCCCAGGTAGCTCTGCTGGGGCTCAGTCCACCCCAATCCCCCATAGGACGTTACAAGTCCTTCCCACTCACTGGAGGCTCAGAGGAGCTCGTTCTCCAGTTTGGCACACCCCACCGGTGGGGTGAAGGCCATTCCCAGAGCTGCCCCTCCCACCAGCACACTTTGGGGGCACACTCAACAGCTGTAAATGGAAGAACAGCATCTGCGGGACTTGACCTGCGTGTCCGCAGGGAGAACACCCCCTCAGAAAGGAAAATCCCCTCTCGTGGGGGGGATGTGGGTAGGGGGGACACAGGCTCTTTATGGTGAGGGGAATGGGGGGCAGGGAGACTCCTCTGCTGCTGGGTAGATGCGGGGTTTGGCACGGGAGAAGTGCGGGGAGGATTCGCGGAGTGGCGGGGACGCGGTGATGGCGCAGCGGCGCTGGCGGGGCGCGCAGCCACCGCACCCAGGCCGGACCCACCCCCCCAGCCCCTCCGGTACCTGCGGGCGCAGCGCAGCGGCGCCGCCAACATGGCGGCAGCTCCCCGGGCCCCGCCCCGTTACCGGCCAAGCCGCGCCCCCGGTGCCACCGCCCTCCTCCGTCACCGCCCGGCCCCTGAGGCGCAGCCTCGCCCCCATTGGACCCCGCCCCTCCTGTTTCCGGTCCCGCCCCGTTACCGCCCCGCGCCGCGGTCGCTCAGCGCAGTTAATAGTGGCACGGGGCATTCACAGGCGTACACTGGGTTGCTCAGCGCAGTTTATTGTCGCACGGGCACCCGCAGCCGCCGCCGCCATCGCAGCGCCCAAGCACCGCCGCCCCCGCCCCTGCCCCTGCCCCTGGAGCGGCGCCCAGCAGCGGGCGGGGGGCGGTGGCGGCGGGACGGGGGTGAGGGGGAGCAGCCAAGGGAGGGCGAACCCCGCGGGGTGGGAGGACCCGCGGTTTCCACCCCCGGCCCTGCGCTGCCCCTGATCCCCGCTGTTCTGAGGCAAAGCCCCACCACGCCAGGGTCCATCCAGCAGCCGGACCCCGTGCACCCACCCGGGCCACTGAGCGGAGCCCCCGCACCACAGCCCTTTGTAAGGCCTCCGCCATGGCCCCTCACAGGGGAAGAGGGTTCCCTCCTGCCCGTCAAGCACCGGGGCTCATGCTGGCTGCCCCCCAGGCAGCCCCACCATGGCCCCCCACACTGGCCCTCGCAGGGGAAGGGGTCCCCTGTTGCCCGTCAAGCACGGGGGCTCATGCTGGCTGCCCCCAACAGTGGGCACGGGGAGGGGGCTGCGTGGGGGCACCCTCCCGTGCAGCTTAGCAAACCCCCAAGTCTTGGTGGAAGGAATGATCGGGGGGATTGTAACAGCTGGGGAGGGGGTCCACATGTCCAGATGTCCAGAGGGTTCAGAGGAAGGGGTTGAGCCCCCCGGGCGCGGACGGCGGGGCCGGGGGGCCGCTCAGCGGCAGTAAAGGCTGCGGCAAGGTGCTGGGGAGTTCGGGGAAGGTGCCAGCCTGCGGAAAGGCACTGGCGGAGGCGGGGAGGGCAGCGGTGGCAGCGGGGACGCTGCTGAGAGGCAGCGGCAGGGATGCGCTGTAGGTCATGGAGTTGGCGGGGTGGCCGGTGGGCAGGCCGGGCACTGGCGAGCTGGTCCGCATCTGGTTCAGCGTCGGCTTGGGCTGCTCGGAGAGGCTGAAGGGGTTGGTGGGGGATGGTGTGCTCAGACCTGGTAAAATGATGGGACATGTCAGGATAGCCAGGCCGCTTCCAGCAGTTCTGCTCCTCCACTTTCTCCCCCACCACCACCTGCCCAGCGCAGGGAAGCCCCTGGCCAGCAACCCTGCAGCACCTACCCGAGAGAAAGGGGTTGCGGGTCTTGGAGGCCGGAGTAGGTGCGACCAGGGAGTCCAGGTTGACCAGAGAGGAGGCGGCAGGGCCAAGGAAGGCCTCGGGAGTTTTACAGTCCTTCCGATCCTTGCTGGATTCAGGCAGGGAGTCAGCCAGGTTGGCAAGGTCAAAGTTCTTTGCCCCATCCTGCCTGGTGCTGGGGAACAGGTCGCCAAAGGGGTCGGGCTCTGAGATGGAGGGAGGGGAGATGAGACACATGAGCCAGCTGGGAGACACCAAGGGTGACAGCACTCTCCCTTGTCACTGCACAGGGTGGCTGACAACACATCTCACCCCAGATCACAGCATGACACAGTGGGGCTGAGCCTGCAGATGGCCTGCCCAAGTATCACCCAAGCCACCGTGGGAGACAGCAGAGTTAGCGACATGAGTGCACACAGAGACTTGGGCTGCTCCCTTAGCTGTCGGGCAGACTGAGGCTACAGCACGTGCCCGTGGAAACACGATCTGGCCATACCAACAAGCACAACCTGGCCAGCCCTAGAACTGCCTCCCTGCCACAGGCAGGGATAGGTCACCACCTGCCCACTCCCAGCTCTTACCCACAGGGCTGCTGGACTTTGCCGAGGAGGGCGGCTGCGAGGGCTCCTGCTCCGGCGGCTCGGGCGGCTTTGCAAACAGGTCAAAAGCGTTCCCCCCTGGAGCTGGGGGGAAGAGGGGACACTCAAGGAGGGGAGCAAGCAGGGAGGTGTGGGGCAGGAGATGGAAGGGCAGGAGAGAGGCAGGGCTGGCTGCCTGCAAGGAGACAGAGAAGACGGGATGCAATGCAGGGCATGGGTTTGGGGGTCAGGAATGTGCACTGGGGAAGGCTTAGATGCGCTAGATCACGGAATCATTGCAGACCAAGACAGCCCTACTGCTTGCAGCCATTACATCATAACAAGCAGGTCCCTTTCCCAGCTCCAGCAGGGACAGGTAGAGGGGACAGGTCTGCAGGAATGCTTTAGCAAACAGCACTGGCCCCCAGACCAGGTTCTGCAACCCTCACCAGGGACCAAAACAGGGGGCAACACATGCAGGACCTGCACAGGGCTGGAGGAAACACCCAGGAGGAACTGAGAGTGACAATGAGCTTTGAAACACAGGCTGCTCCTACAACTGTTTCCCCATCTGCAACATGGCACCTGCGACCAGCAACGGTCCTGTCTAGTCCTGGCAGGGTGTACAGGGGTCATTTGGGTTGAGCAAATAGCTATCAGTAATGGGACACAGCATCACCTCACTGCTGGAGGGGTGTGGGGCTGCCACCTGCTCCCATCAGATGGCTCTATTAACTGCCATGTTAATTAAAGCAGCCTGTTCTGTACAAAGATAAAGCCTAAAAGTTCCCTGAAGTCTTCAGGATGCTGAGGGGTGAGCAGAGGTCCTGCTAAGGGACAGGAGGGTGGAGAAGGGGTGCTTGGGGAGCTGGTTGAAGGAGGAAGGGGGGAGAACCCAGAGATGCCCACTTGCAGTAGGGTAGTGATGGTCAAGGCTGTCCTCAATCCTCAGCAAAGCCAAAAGGTCCATTGGGCCTCTTACCAGTGGTTGGAGGCTGCTCAGGCACAGCAGCCCAAGGGTCAGGAGCTGGTGTAGAATTGGAGCCCTGGGGGGCTGGGGGGGATGCTGTTCCCCAGGGGTCTGCAGGAGGGAAGCCAGAAGACATCGGTGCCTTCCCCCAGGGGTCAGAGGCTGCAGTGGTGCTGGGGGGAAAGTCCCAGGGCCCAGCAGGGGTTTGCTGGGATGAGGAGCTCGCCTGGGAGAGGGGCTCCCCACCAGGGTCTGGGACTGGCACCCAGGGATCCGCTGCACCGGTCCAGGCAGAGGCCACCGGCTCCACTTTGGGTTTCATATCTGGAAAAAAAGGGAAACTCTGGGAGAGGGGAACAATGCAGAGCACAGAGGAATGCTGAGTGGTGGTTATGTGGCCAGGAGACCATGGCTTCCAGCAGTACCACCTGGGAGTGTAATGGAGTAGGCACAAGAGGGAGAAGGCAGAGGTCCTCATTGTTGAGCTGCTGGAGGAACAGAGGCAAGGGACAACTTTCTGCCACTGTCCCAAATTTTGGCAGCCTGCAAGTTGTCCTCACCTGTCATATCCCATGGGTCAGCAGACGTGTGGCTGGAGGGGGCTGGCGCCGGCCCGAATATATCTGCCAGCTCCAGAATAGAAGACTGCAGACAGGAAGGGAATAAAAAGGTGAGAGGAGCTTGGGGCAGACCTTCAGGATCACCCCTGTGTGGCCACCCAGCCTCCAGTGCTATACCTGGCTTTTCTTCATCTTATCTTCTTCTTGCTCTTCGTCCCTGCCTGGAGCAGTCTCCTCCACAGGTCTCTGCTGCAGGGAGTTCTCCCCTTGCCAGGTCCTCACTTCCTGTGGGGACAAGGGATGGGACCTGTGAGCTCAGCAACCCTGCAGACAGCACCTTCTCCAGGAGACACACCCAGCACAGGAGCTGCCACCCAAGAAGTCCCAGCATCTGAGCAGACAGCTCCTCCAGGGCCGAGCCCCCCAGGAGAGCACTCAGCAGACAGCCCGGAGCAGCGAAAGCAAAGCGGGCACCGGAGCAAGGTGATGTTTTGGGCTCCGGTGCCACAGAGAGACCAAGTGCAAGGAGAGCGGAGCGCCAGGACTGTAGGACACAGGTACCTTCTCGTGCTCCTCTTTGCTCAGCGCGAGCGCGAGCTGCAATTGCCTTTCTTCATCTGTACTGGAAAGTGGAGGAAGTGGCTTCTGGCAACAGAGGAAATTGGGTGATATTTCAGCTTGCCCTCAACTCGCAAGACTGCTTGTGGTTGTCCCTCTCCTTGCCACCACCATTCCAGTGGCCCCTTGCCTGCCTGCACAGCATCTGTGCCCATCCAGCTGGCCTTGCCTGCAGACCCCCAGCCCAGTGTCCCTGTGCTCTCTAACCAGCTCCTCCTCAGGTTCCATGCAGCCCCTGCCCAGCTCCTTCCCCCATCCCATCACCTGCCACTGGATTAAGGCTGGGATGACCCTAAATTAGGCAGTCAGCATCTCCCCTGGGAGGTTTTTGGGGACCCTGATGCAGTCAGTGAAGGAGAGGAGATGAGTAAGACATCTCCTTGCCCTGGCAGCCTGCTGGGGAAAGATGGTTTGTGACACTGACCGGCCTCAGTTTGGGATTCCTGCCAGCCCCAACGTAGACCTGAGTAGACTTTGGGGAGAGGCTGTCCCTGTACCACCATGGTGGCCCTGATCACTGCCCCATGACACTTTTCCAGCAGTGTGGAGACTCATGGGGGCTGGGAATGGGTACCCTGATAAGGGTGTATGTGTGTGACACCCATAAATGTGTGTACATGACTGTGCAGCCCAGATGGACTCCAAGAAAAAGGCAACACTTTCCAGAGAGTTTCTTCAGTGCTCATTGGAACAGTGTGAGGATGCTATAAATACTCCAATTCCAGGACAAAAATAGGGATATACACCCTGCTCTACCTCCAAAAGAGCCTCCATCGAGCAGGAAAGACTGGCAACAACAAGCATCATCTCTAGAGCACATCCTCTGCCTGGGACGACTGGGCTCATGGTGCTGGGTGACAACTCCAGGAGATACCCACCAGTCCAGCCATGCAGCTCCTTGATCCCTATGTTCCTCTGATTTTGTGTACTGGCTGTACCTACAGGCTCATGCACACTG